GTTAGCTGCGGTCTGTAGCAAAAAAAAGCTAGTGATTTACGGCGGTTTACCGCGATTTTGGGAGTCGGTAACTGATTCGGTAAAACCACAGTTATCCTCCGGTTTTTATCACGTATGATATAAGTACACCAGAGAAGTGCATTCGGTGCACAAGATGTTGTGTCTCTCTCAAAAAGTAGTATGTCTCAAAATAAGTATCGTTACATGCTTCTCCCATAGGCCGTTCACGGATTAGATGGCATGAAATGATTACTCTTGTTTGATAAGGCGGCTTTGTCGTCTAGTTGATTTTGTTTATTTCATTGGCACTGTTGAAGATGTTAGGGCACTCAAGTAAAAACCAATAACATTGTATTTAACTCCCTGAAATAAGATCAAATGTCTCCGTATAGAATAAAAGCATCGCTCATATACGGTTGTAAGTAGGAAGCGTATGGATGATAAAATAATAATCATAAATTTAATGTAATTTTGTAATGTTCTAATTGTAAGTGGTCGTATATGGGCAGAATTTTCCTCCTATGAAGATATATATGGTCACGTTTGGAATGGCATACACAGGAAATGATACCGAGTATTATATTCTTAGATATAAACAGCAGCATACGAATGCATGCATTCTAGCAAAACTATTAGTATCAAGAGATCAAAGTTTTCTAGTGTTCAACGTTTGTCAAACTGGCATCGTTTATTGATTAAAGTCTATCCCATGTCGACGATTACAGGCTTCGTATACGACTGTAAAACATTGTACATGCTTCTTATACAATATGGCCGCTCAATCTGGGTAGTAACGTTCAATGGTGCGAATGTGTATAGAAATTAGATCTTCTTTGTCTCAATATGGTATGCCCATAATACATACAATAGCCAATTATTTTTTAGTAAAGTTGAATTCTGCTTATCACTATAGACAAAAGATCAAATTGAATTACGAGCACCCTTATTTTCATCAGACACAACTCTCAAAAATTTCATAAAATGTCCATGGAAATATCCGAAAGTGGTGAGCAAAATAAAGTTTATTATTATTATTATTTTTATATGTGTATAGTTGGATTTGAATAAAATATTAAAATGAATAGCTTACAATAAATAAGAGAATAAACTGCTGATTAATATAGTAATAGTGTATCATGTAATTAGAATATATAGTTAAAATGTTAGTTTGTTTCAGAGTTCAGTCAAACAAATTCACACCAAAATTCAAATCTTGATAAACCATGTTCTCCTTTAGGTAGAATTCATTTCTGGTGAAATAGCAGTACGATGAGCACGGCCATGTGAATTCGTCCATCGATAGAGACGAATACTGTTCCATACAAAGAATCTTAAAGTAACTGTAAGTCCACCATAGAAGACTATTAAAGATGTGACTACATACAATACAGTATTGCGCCGGCCAGAGATGGACAAGTCAGGCTTTTTTCTACCCAAGTCAAGTCAAGTCAAGTCATTCCTAAAAAACAAAAGTCTTACAGTCAAGCCAAGTCAAGTCACAAGTCACAGTCTTTAGCAAGCCAAGTCTTTTGACAAGTTAAGTCATGAGATTGATATTTCTTTAAAATTTTATAATTTAATCCTGTATCAATGTATTCAACACAAATTTTACATTAGTGCTTGATTACATTTTAACGTTGTTAACGTTTCTAATGTCTTTCTTGACATTTTCGATCTATGTTGTCGCAATATGAAGCTACTTTGACAGAAAAACCTTTCTGTAGATGATGATGTTGTGAAATGTCTCTTTTCTTATTGCATATTGGCTATGCGTATTCGCTATCATGAGAAATGAGCAATTTTCCGTCGCGTATGGATGCCACAACCACTCAGTCAGGCAAACGTTAAAAAAAACGACGTTTTTACGCGTTAAAAGCGCACGTTTTGGTGCATTTAAACGATTTGTATGGTAGAAACGCATTTTAACGACCTGAAATGTGCTTTTATCGCATTAAAACGGCGTTATTTTCAAGGATTACCTGACTGGACAGTAGCACTTTCTAGTAGAGCAAAAGGAATAACGTTAGGGTGTATAAATTGAACATCCATCATAGCTGCAGAAATATTTCTGACTTGACTCATGTTTTTTCGGCAATTCACAAGTTAAGTCAAGTCATGCCCAGTCACAAGTCCCGGATAAAAAAGACTATCCAAGTCAAAGTCAAGTCTTCGAGTCATTGAAAAGTTGTTCAAGTCAAGTCAAAGCCAGTCAAAAATGACTCGACTTGACTTGGACTTAAGTCATTTTTGACTTGGCTCGCCCATCTCTGACGCCGGCTATATTCATAACAACATAGACTTGGCGCACAAGCAACAAAATAACTTTNCTTTCGCATTAGAATATTCATGAGGATAGATTTGAAAAGAGCGTTCAAAACTGAGTAGAAATAGTATGAAAAATCTGTCAGAATCTCATAACTCCAAATTTTTCCAGTATTTAAAATGTTTCTAAGAAATTCTAGGAATCGGCTGGAATTGTTTTTTCTCTGGTTGCAAAAATATTTGCTCAGCACCGACACTTGATATTCTTTTGATAGATTTTTCATATTATTTCTACTCAGTTTTGAACGCTCTTTTCAAATCTATCCTCATGAATATTCTAATGCGAAAGATAAATCTGTAATTCAGTTGGAATTGGTCGGAATCGGTTGAAAAAATCTTTAAGTTTTCACTTTTTGACCAATTCCATACTGAGTCCGAAAGGTTTGTTTTACAGTGGATGGATTTTGACGGCTGATTCAGATAGAACGTGAAAAACTGGTCAAAACGAATGTAAAAACTCCGTATATAGCGCAAGTCTTTATGGCAAAAGAATGTCATTTTTAAAAGCATAGCGTAGGAATCGGTGCATCCCTATTTCCAACTAATACGCCTTTACGTAGATAGAAATTTTACTAGTGATTCATCCATGGTAAAATTGCAGCTAACGCATACCCTTCCATACACAAGTGTAATCAGTTTTTCAAGCTCGTTAATTTGAAACTATAATCATTCGATTCTATGACAAAAAAAAATTCGAAATTTTCAACAGATCCCTGTACTCCTTCCTCCAGGAGGTCGGATGAGGTGGAAAAAATTTTTCTGCATTTAAGAACGAACTAACTTTGCTAAACAGTGTAGTATACTAATCTTATTTTTTCTACACTAAAATTTTTGTGAATCGTTGATATCGAGTATTGGTCACATGTCGTTTATTTCCATGATTTTCACTACCATATCGATAATGTTAACTACTTTTCGGATCGAGCATACCATTTTTTTTCAAATAATTCTTTGCGGTTTTGTATAGAATTAAAAGTTACATGAAATATCCGAAATTCTGCTTGGGGGTCTACTTATTTAGAAAGATTAGATCAAATATATTGTGGAAAATAGACTAAAAAAATTTCCACTTCCTATACTTGTTGATCCTTGCAACCTCAATAAAAAAAATATCATTCAATACTTTAAATATCCAGTATTATTCACCTATATATGGGCTATCTTTCAGTATTCGTCTAAAGATTTGGACAATCTTCTTAGGCATGAGACGGGGTTGTTTGATCGAGAAATTTTTGCTATTTTTTACATTGAAAAATTGTGAGGGTAGTAAAAGTCGTCTCTGACTAACTTTTTGAAGGAAAGGTATTGGAAGCTAAAATTTTCAAGTTAGTAGTTTTAAACCTTGATCTTTCGAAGGAGCATAAAAAAACCAAAAATAAATTTTATTGAGTGCTCGATGCACTGGAGCGATCCTCGGTCGACTCGTGGAAGCTCTCTTAATGATGATTTTTTCCTTATAAAAAAAGTTATCTTTTTGAATAAATTGTTGGCTACCAATAAAATTTATCATATCCCAGATGTTTTCATCACTTCTTTGTCTCTATGGTATCTTTCTCATGATGTAAAATTGTTTTTCTTGCTAGAGCCTTACTATGTTTTTATAGAAATTTCACGTTCGAAGTAGTCTTTCTCATTGTGCGTAATTATTATAAAAACTAACATACAAAGCAGTGACGAAGAAACATGAATATGATGAGATAAATTCACATGAAGCAAAAGGAAACAAAAAATTCAAGGTAGTTAATAATGTTGAAAAGCAAATGATTCAGTTCATGGAGGAAAGTCGTCATGGTGCAAGAACTTTTTCATAATTAGATGTCGATAACTAGAAATGTAACAGGGGGAATCTGTACGATGAAATTAGAAATAAAAGTTGAACAAATATGATAAATAAAGTTCGTCGCACTTGCAGAAAACAAATGCATGAAGAATCCAATTGAAATTAATTTGGTTTCGTTGCACTTGTGTACAAATCACTTCCATTAAATATATATATATTGTCATATGTCGATTAATAACTCACACCGAAAAATCTTCAAGCGAGTTTTGCAGCTTTTAATATTAGTTATATTGGTCAACTATTTGCACTAAAAAATGAGAACAGACAGATGACAATGGTAGTTGTTTTTTGTTTTCACAAACCTATGCTCTACTTATACGTATTTGTTTTCTTTTGATAGCTTTCGACTTGAACTGAACATAACTCATTTGTAATCTCACGATCAGTCTGCTGAAAGACTGTTTGTATGAGTAGCAGTGAGAGCGATGCGAATGTTGTGCGGTACAAAATGATCGAATAGTTTCGCATATATGTGAAAAAGGTTTAGTCGAAAGTATTTATCTACTTTTAGATGCTTTTAAACTATCGATTAACCTTTCTTCATTAGAAAAATGTTTCGATGGTTTTGGGAAAAAGCATGTTCATGATCTTTTTATTTTTTTTAAATAATTTAGCGTATATTATTCACTGTTTTTTTTTTACAAATATCTCACAATCCGAATAAGACGAAAATTCTAGTGTAAGCAATACGAAAAGAAAATATAGTGCATAGCTAAACGACTTCAAGGAGAATTGAATCTGATCGTTTCGATAGTTTAAGACGTGAAACGGATTCACATACACAGTCAAAAGTTCATTGATCGATAATGACGCGCAAGTGTTCGAAGTAAACAACATGTCATTGAGTTTTTTGATCTTGTTCTTTTTGTTGCATTGGAGTATATCGTTGATTGACTCGTATCATCGAGAAAGTTTTACGTACAATCAGTATAGTCCAATAAACGTTGAGTAATCTGGTCAAGATACACAATATACCTTGTACAAAAATGATCATAATACTGATGTAATCGTGTACACGTGAAGCCATTTGAATGAATATCGGTATAGCTCGAAATATATACAAAAAAATAATCGTTCCATAGATAAGACGGCTGAATACGAAGCTCACAATAAACAGAACATTGAAAAATTTATGCAATCGAACAGTTGAGTTCCATAAAGTTTTAAGGTTGAGTGGAATCGTAGATAGTTCTTCCATGATAAAAAAAAAATGGCATGAATGTCCGATACCAGTATATAGCCCTGAAAGAAATTTTATTGTTTATACATATCCTAGGATTTCAATAGTATGAAATAAGAACAAAAAAGACACGAGATATGATCTAAGAAATCAGTTCTTCTTTGCTCAAAACAAACCCTTTCTTCAAAAATTAGTTTTACGATGGTCCCATAAGTTAAAAAATCTTGATGTCTGTTTTTTATTTTCTGTTGTGAAAGCTCAACGTTCACATGTTATAATTGTTAACACTCACCGGCTAGGACAGAAGATGCAATTATCACATGATGGATCAATGCAGACCGATTACGAACGGACTTAAACAGTAGCATAATGATAATATCATAAATAAAATATCCACATGAATAACACAAACTATAAACCATTTTTTCATCATGTGTTGCCAAAATTCCTCCACCAACTATTCGATTCACTTGCTTCAAATTGATTGTTGAAAACAAGTAAAATAGAGTTGCAGCAACAACCGATGCTAAAGCATGTATAGTAGATACAATGTAACTTTTCTTTAATGGTGTAATAGTTGGTGGAAGAATATAAAATATAATACTATTAAAAATAACTGAACAACCAATCAATGATAACACAGGTGCGTGCAATGAAGGATTCCTTCCAAGATCTGAACATCAAAATAGAAGCATTAATTGAAATGGACAGGCATTACTTACATTGAAAACGAATTTCTTCGTCAAAAGACATTTTTAATCCAAAGCAACTCTGTTTATTGATATGTTGTTCTATAAAGAAAAGTAGAGCGTAAATCGTTTGAAAACGCAATTAGATAAAATAAGGATTTTTTCATGAGACAAAGTCTCTTCTCAATAAGTATATAGCAAAGCAAAATACTGGATTGAATCTAAAAAATAAATATAACAACGCTAAATGTAGCTCAATTACAATGCACCAAGTCTTTCAAAAATATTTCTTCAAAAAAATATTCATTTCGTTGTCGATAATTTCGAACTAGAAAAATGATCAGAAGCCGCCATTAATGAATGGGCTTCTGTGTTTCTATGTAATTTGTGTTAAAATGATCATATTGAAAGTATTACAAATCTATGATAGGTGTCCTTGTTTAGTCCCCATGACCCTAAAGAAATCTCATTTAAATAGAACAAGACTCCGCAGCGTAAATATTATTCACTAACTTTACTGTTTGACCGATGGAGATTAGTAGAACAATGAAGGCGATTAATTGTCACAACGTCGCACGTCTAGGAAAAGTGTTTTTTTTGTTTATGGCGAATTGGCTGCTTGGTTGCCACCACGTAAAATAAATTTTTTGTTCTCCGTCGGGTAGAGAAAAAAACAGAACAAGAGAACTGAGCGCGATATTTTGTTACTTCTGCACGAAAAAATAGAAGGCATCGTCAAACAACGCCGATTGGTGTGTCAATAATTCGATAGAATGTTGCGATGAGCTCCCAGGTCGATCGTTCCAGTCACCGGATATGGTAGGAACTAGCCGGGAAAATCACCGTATTCCGGAGGAAAACACGGGAAGTCGCTGGAACATGGAAGCAGTATTCCGGTCGGAAAATTTTCGGAGTTTTTCCCAATGATTTACTGGCGGTTCCTGCTGGAAAGCACTGGAAGTTGACCAGAATCCACCGGAAAAAAATCCGGGAATTTACGACAGGAATACTGCTTCCACTTTCCAGCGATTTCCTGCGTTTTCCGATCGTTTCACGCCGTACCGCCACGACCTGGGCTGCGTTGCAGTGAGAGTAAAAAAAGGCAATGCTTAGTGCTAATGAATAAATTGATCTACTCGAATGGAACTATTTTTAATAGGTTAATTATTCGCCAAAACTCACTTATTTTAAATTCAGAGGTTCTTAAGAGTTTTTCTTTTTCTTTTCGAATCATGAAATAACATGCCGTAAATGGAAAATATTTTCTCAAGATCTAAGCATATTAAACATGTTATGGTGAGACAAATCTGTCGCTTTGTTGTACATCAAATGGACAAGCATAAAATTTTGATGCTAAGAGCACCTTCTTTGACTCTGCAGATGAGAAAAATAGTCAGTTTTAATGATCAGCTGAATGCGGTATTGTGATCGAGCTTCTTTTAATTACATATTTGATCTGGTAGCCCTAAAGTATGAGTTCAGAAACAAGAAGAATGTAGCTGTCAATCTTCTAGCGCCTTAACACCCCTGGCTATCTCAATGGATATAGATGTGGATATTCAGCTTAGTACACCTCATTCACGGAAAACGCTCAATTCTTAAAATAAATATAGTATATTCAATTGAATCTCTGCTTTATTAGATATCGTAACTTCTGATCGGTCACTACTCGACGTAAAGATATCATGAGATTTCTTCTACTATTGAAAAAATTCTGAATTTTAAATATAAGCATTCGTTCGACTAGCAATCACGAAAGAATTTCTGTCTATGAGCTGCCAGATGTTGTTAGCACTCAAAAAATGCTGACTACTAAATGTAAAATTGTATTGTGTTCTTTTTACAAAAACAATCATAACTTCTTTCAGAAGAGATATTCAGTTTTTCAAAACCCAGCGAACTACTGCCTAATAGATTTTTCTCATCGGTACCCTGAAAAACAAATAAATATGATTATTTTCGAGGTCATTTCAATTTATTACACCTAATAATGTAGATCTATCTGTTTTATTAAAATGAAAAAATTAATAAACTCGAATCCAAATGCCATAGTTGGTGATCATCAGTTGTTTCTTTCAGTACTAACATATTATCAGCGAAAATTGGACGAAGCATAAAAGACGAGTTAGATTAAATGACCTACAAGATTTCTATTTTGAATATCTTTTTTATTATTATAAAATCTTGAACTATTCTTATAGACTACTATATACTATAGAATCTAAAGGTTTTGGTCTAATGATAATTTATCATCTGGTCATAAAGTGAAATCTAAAATGTCACAGAGAAAAATAAAAGTACCCTACCTTCGTATTTCTTTTCTTAAATTTCCTTCTCATACTCTTGCATTCAATAAATAACAAACTATGCTTCTCTAAAGTCATTTAGTCAATAATATTTTGATTTCAAAAATTATGTTGTAAATTATGAAGTATGTTCTTTTCCATGAAAATAGCATTTCACATTTTTAAATGCTATGCTGAACACACTTCTTGGTAAGCAGACATTTCAAGGTTGTGTTATTATGTATACCATATTTTGAACAGAACGACACATATGCTCAATCGCATTTGTCTTAAGTTCCTTACCAATATTCACTATCTATAATAAATTTTTCGTATTATTTTACAATGTTTCTAATGATTTCTAAGCTGGAAGGTAATTTATTTAAAAATGAGCACAAGAAAAAAACTTCTCTTAGAGAAAGCGTCACAATCATAACTCTAAGCTCTTTTGAAATAATCAAATGCTATTTATGTTTAAAGTTTACTCTTTTGTTTTAATTAATTGTTAAAACTTTGAGCGAAGAAAAGTTTCTTGTGTTTTTAAGGAAAGCAATTTTTATAAATAAACATATCTCCATATAGTTCTTTGTTATTAGCTGATTGATAGAGGGGAAAGTCATATTTTCAATGACGTTTTAGTAAATATCAACGTCTGTGTGCCATCATTCAGATTGGCATATATTTTTTCAAATCCTATTAGCATAATCTAACATTGTGCAAAACTAAAATAATCTAACATCATTTTGATTGTTATCTAATAAATAGAAACGTTTTGCAGTTACATAAGTTATGACTACACATAGCGAATAGTGCATCTCTCCATAATATCTACTGTATTTAATAATGCAAAAATATTTACTTACATTGCAAACTGTTTCACGAAACGGGATGGATTTAATATGCACGCGATTTTCATTTCTATTATCAGTCACATGTATTTCATGAGTGTAGCACGATTTCAAATAACTAGTCTTTACCTTTTGGAAATCTGTTGACAATCAAACAGGATAAACCTATGATGGGTAACAAAAACAATCTTACGAAATATTTGTGCTTGAAAGTCAAAAGCGTTGCTAACCCAAACTCTGAGTACAACCCCTTTTCAAAAATGTTTAGTACGAACACTCAATTTTTATTTTACGCTCGTTTTAATATTGAAGATACTGTATAATAGCTATAGAATGGTAATTATATGACAATGGCTAATCGACCGAAGATCACGTTAAGGAAATAACGGAAGTATCAATTCTATGGAAAGAATTTGGCTTTGATACAGTAGAAGGGGTGTGTACAGTGGACCTGTTTTTACTTAGTATTCTGATTAAGAGAGTTTTACTGGCCCTAATTCTATTGTCCCAGATGTTTCCTCTCGCCGTGTCCAGTTATGCAAAACCTTTAACATTTTGCTTACCTGCAGTCTTAATAATAAATAAAAAAATAAACTGTAATTACACTAAAAGGATGACAGGTAATGTAAAAAACATATTATTTATTGATTAGTCTTATTTTCTATTGATTTGCTGATAATGTGTCCAGTGTAATGACTTATATTCTATCGATCGATCGATTCCCGTATTGACATCTGAAAGATGTCGCTTAAAAACTGTCACCTAACTCTAGCTCTGCAAGAATGAGCAAACGGAACTAAATCATAAAATAGATTTCTGATGACCTGCTTGATTCTGTAACTCTACCACTGTTATAACGGTGGATTTCGGTACATTGTACAAAATGCAAGTGCATCCTACAGCAATAGGCAAAAACTCGATCGGTGCGATAAAAGTACAAGTCAGCGTGTGTACACTAAATTTATATCGAGTACTTTTGTCGTCACTGTTCAGAAAAAATATCCGTGCATATACAACATATTCCATGCTATACAAAACTTTACAAACACCAACTATGAGTAGTTATCATTTTCATTTCCATTCTTCACATTCCTTCTTTCCCAACGATTCATTAAAAACAAACTTCTTACCAGCTCTTTAACATTCGTCACGCTTCACCACAAAACTATGAAAGCTTTCACTTATATCGTAAATGATTTTCGAAACCCCATCTTCATGCAAATTTACCGATCATTGTTTTAACCAAAATCAACCTTAATCTAACCGACTGTAAATTTCCCCAACATCCTTAGTATCGTGCAAACTCATTTTTCTCTTATCGCGAATACATGTATGTTCATTTCGATTACATATGAACCAATTTTTCTTCTAAAAGTAAAATACTATTTCATTTATCTAAACTATTTTGCCCATTGAGTTTTTCATTTTTCCGCTTGAAACGAGCATTTATGTCACCGATCAGTTATTTGTCTAATCCTCGCATCCTATGCTAGTATGCCATAAGTATTTTTTTCTTGGCACTCATGCACAGAATCTATGAACATGAGAAGTGCCGATGTGTCTCTATTTTATTATTCAAGTCAAAGGATGAGATAGATTTTCGAGTTATGTACTAATTTTCATAATATTTTGAAACACTTTTCCTCCATCACACTACACAATCTGAATTTAGATTCATAGCCCCACTACTAAGCTACTCTTCAATATGTTTTACACTAGCATGTAAACATCCCTCAACAACAGTCAACACAATAGCGATTGTTTCATTTTATGATTTTATCGCCATTTATTTATTTACTTAGTCGAACAATCTCTGCAGGGCAATTAATTCGGATGTAATTTGACCAAATAATATTTCTCGAAGTCTTGATTTCATAGGAATTCAAGAATTGCAAAAGGCTGAAACGTGGAAGATAATAGTTATTGATTGGCATTTGAAAATGATTTCGATTTGTATTAAACCGCTATTGTGCTTCAATTAGTTGCAACAATATAGTAATGAAAACGTGAAGAATAGATTGGACGAGTATAGTAAATAGAGAGCTGTATATATTTAAAAAGAAAACAAAATTTAAACATGAAAATTATATGTAACACATAAATACAAAAGAAAAAGAAAAACATTTAAACATGTATTATATCAGGATTCACACTATCTCCAAATGAATAATAGGTATCATAAAATTTCTTATTCGTTATTGTTGTTGTTGTTACTAATGATCGAGCAGAGAGTGTTGTTGTTGACGGTGTATTCATCAATGGGTCATCATCATGCTTTTGTTTTTGTTTTTGTTTAAGAAAGTACAAAACAACGAAAATTGTGACAAAGGAAAAAATGATAATAGCGATTGAAATGAAAGAAATAAAATAAAATAATTGCGATGAAAATGAGTATTGTTGAATTGACATCAGAAATTTTTGTGGGTCAGTTTGATGATCATGAATAAGTATTGTTAATTGAATGTTTGTTTGAGAAGAAAGTGAAACAATGAGAGTGCCATAAAGTGGAATTGCTGATGTTGATAAAAGATACAATTGACCAGAAAGATAATCAACATTTATTGATGAATTAAGTGAACCGCCAATAATAGAATAGGAGATAAAACGATTTTTAAGATCAAGATCGTTATCAAACGCTTTTAAACGAGGCATGGTTTTATTTGAATAATCAATAATGAATACATCATTTGTTGATGATGGATAAATTAAATAAGGAAAATTATCATTAATGTCAATTATATTTATATATATTTTTAAATAACAACATAATGACGGCAAAGAATTAATATTATCACAAGCTATTATTAATGTTGAGTATGTTTGAATAAGTTCATAATCAAATGAATTTATTGTTGTTTGAATTGTTCCTGTCGTTGAATCTATATTTAAATAAGGTGTTTTAGGTGATAATTTATATAGGAGAGTTCCGTTTTGTTCATAATCTGAATCGTACGCTTGAACTTGTATTAAATTTATATTTGATGGAAGATTCTCATTGATTGTTAATGTTATGGATGATGAATTAAATTTACACATGTTATCATTTTCATCAAGAATATTTACATATATAGATGAACATATCTGATAAAATCCATCGAATGCACAGATTAGCAGAGAATAGTTCGATTGTAGTTCACGATCGAACGATTTTGAAATCCATAAATCTCCACGTGCAGAATTTATTGAAAATATATTTTCATCTAAATTAACAGTTTATTTAAAACAACAGATGAAACGTAAAATTACTTTTACTTTCTTATCAGAACTCTCGTGCATAACAGAAATGAAAAAATAGTTAAGATTTAGTCTGCCTGAAAATGTTTGTTTTTCTTGAATATTTTTCTCCTTGTATTTGACTCGTTCTAATGTGTCTTTTTTAGGATAAAAACTATCTGTAGAAGTGTTCACGGAATTTATATCGATTAGTGATTTCTATTAAAATTAAATCGGAAAGTGATCAAAAAGAAAAACTAGAAAAAAAGAGGACGAGACGGGAAATTGAGCGATCTCTAGGATTTTTTATATGCAAATATTTGTTATTCTTTTGAAGATCACATTAACTTTAGTCAAAAAACAGATATTCAATGATGAAGATCACTTTATGTTATCGTGATGGAACTCACTGGGAACTCTACAAAAGAATATGAACTTGCGGAAAACCACAAACTTACACTTGAAGATTTCTCATGTTGAATCATTTTCTCAGTAATGAACTTAATGAAAATTTCAGATCGGTATAAAAGGAAGCAATAAAAATGTTGAATTGCTAAAAGCGTTGTTCATGAACTATGGAAACGAAGCTGTTCTTATAATATATGAATTCGAGTTAGAATAGATTTGAAAATGATGATATTTTTCATGTTTTGATTTACTTATAAGATAAATAAATAAACAGACAAAAGAAAACTTATCAAACCTGAAGTTTGAATTTGATAGATAATATTATTTAAATGGTCTTGATCATACGCTTGAAATGTATAAAGAAGAAATGGTATTTGATTATTTTCTTGAACAGTGAAGAAAAAATCTGTTTGATTAAAATACGGTTGACAATCATTAATATTTTCAATAGCAATTTCAATAGATTTTTTTGTTGAGTTTTGTTTATTTAAAATAAAATCCAAGTCAATCTTTTGAATCAATTCATAATCAAATGATTTTAAAAGCACTAATTCGAATAGTTGTTGATCTATTTTTTTTAAATAAAAATAATCTTTTTCTATCGATGTTATCATATCCAATGAATACGACGAATATGATGATGACGAGGAGGATGATATAAATAATTGCAGAATTGTTATTGGTACAAGTAAATTTTCTTTAAGAAAAATTTTCTTATCATTTTTATGGAATAACTTTGGTATTAAAATTTGTATAAAATTTTCTTGTTCATCATTATTATTACTAAGATTATTTAATTGATACGTTAAATTGAAATAAATCTCTACAGTTGTTAATGACGAAAGATGATTTAAATAGAAAGCTTCAATCAAGATTTCATAAGATTTATTTAGAAAATTTATATTTTGCTTTCCATTTAAAAATATTTCTCCACTTGTTTCATTTATTTGGAATAAATTCAAATTTTCAATCGATGGAATTATACGATAATAAATTTGTTGATTATTTAAATTCAACGAATTTTTTGCATGAACTTTCCCAATAAATGTTTCGTTTAAATTAAAAATAAAAAATCGATATAAATTTAAATCAAACTCGGGTGGTAAATAGTTATTGTGTTGAGTTTTTAAAATATTTATTTCAATTAAACACTTATCTTCTTCATTTTCTCCATCGTTGACCATGAGTTCAAAAAGAAACTTTACATTTTCACTTTTCTTTTCTAAATTTTCAATCAATATTAATTCCAGTAAATGATTTTTTTCATCATAAGCAAGTTCAAATGGAAAGTAGGTTAAATTGAATACATTCAAATGATAATTTTTTATTGAATTTTTCTCTGACAAATCTTTATCTTCCGCTTGTTCCAGTGGAATACGAAAACCTTTGGATAAGTTTTCATCGAATTCATATGAATAAAATTGTTTTTTAAATTTTGGCTTATGGTCATTTATATCTTCAATGTTAATTTTTAATTTGATTAATTTCATTTCTTCTTTTTCAATAAATAAATCACAATTTAAATAGCAGTGTTTTTCATATGGACAAAATTGTTCACGATCGATTTTAAGCGAACGAATTATGAAAGAATTTCTTTCATCGATATAAATATTTAAACATGGACGAGCAAATTTTATTATAAAACCATTTGAATTATTTAAGAATGATAATGAACTAAAATATGACCGTAAATCAACAATTATTGAACCATTTTTTTCTTCTTCTTTTATTGAAACTTCAATTGAAATCTCTGCAAATGTTTCTATCAAGTTCAAATTTATTGTTAATAAAAATATTAAAAATATTTTCATTGCTTTTCTTGTTCTTCTTCTTATCTTAAAAAGAAGCAAAGAAATATTTATTTCCTAAACTTTCTTGTATGATAGAATATGAAACAATTGCTTAATAAATACTAAAAAAAAATCAAATTTAACTAAAATAACTTGAGAACCTACTTCATATGTTCTATTATTTTATTTTTCTACGATGAATTTTTCTTTTCTATATTGCATTTGATGTAAATGAATAAAGTATCAATATACACTTACCATAAGAGAATAGTCTACATCAATAATAGAAGTATCTTCATTTATTTAAATAGCAATTTTCACTCACTCACTTTCTTTCTTTCTTTCTTCTATTCGTTTTGTTTATATACGACATGCATAATACACAAATACAAACTAATATCATCATCAAATCGTCACTTGTTTCTCAATCAACATAAAAATAGACTCTTGAGAAAGAGAGAAAGAGACATATCGTTATTTATTCTCAATCTGCTATGAGTGCGAATGGAAAGGATGAGAGAGAGAGAGAGAGAGAGAGATTATAATTCTCTTTTTCCTGAATATATGTCGTAAGAGAGGAGGCAAGGGCGAAAATTCAATTTGAGTTCCATCATTCTCATTCTGTTTTCAGACTAAACAATGATGATCACTTTGTAATTAGATTCTTTTCTCTCTCTCTCTCTTCAAATAGAAAATGGAGAAAGAAAAAGGGAGGAGAAAATTGAGATAGAATCTACAAGTACTTGTGCGTGATCCTCTCTACTTACTTGACTCTCTTACATGTTCATATATACATATGAGTTTTAACGGAAATCATCATCATCGTTTTTCAACAAGTGTCCAATGTCGTCTAAGTACATTCGATAGAATTATCTTCTTTTGTCGTTTTTTTCGCAAGTTTTATCTCAGTCGAAGTTTAAGACATCAGCATGAGACATAATAATTATAACTTACCCTTGAGGAAAACGTACATACTCTATTGCGGAATGACCCTTCCTTTTTTTTCTTTTCTCCAATTGAACAACAGAGATGCCATCAATGAAATATAAAAATCTATTGCCGGAAATTCATTCGATCATGAATACGACACGAGAAAAAAGATTGAGAAGGAAAAGAAAAAGGTTATCAATCTGTATAATTTCTTTTTTTATCGTCTGTGTATGTGTGCAAATGGTGACGATTAATCGTGTTTTTTATTATGCGGAGAGAAGATTTCAATCGGCCTTATCTTAAGTTGAACATAATTTATCGATATATGTATAGAAATCATGGTGGTACTCAAAACAGATGTCGAGTTAAGGAAAAATATATGTTTTGTTATCTCAATAAATGAATCATAGCAATATCTTGAAGTGGAAAATAAGTAAAACATATAAAAACTATTACAATTCAGATTGACCTACTAATATATCTATCTATCGTGTATATATTGGTCGAAAGAATAACAACAAGAAAATGAACGAGAACATATGTGTTAAGGTAATTCGATTAGTTGACGGCTGGACATGTTCAATCTTGATAGAAGAAAAGATAATGGTCTACTGAACAAGACAGTCACTTGACTTGACAACAGGAACTATGCAACTGTCAGATAATGTTACTGATTGATGGTCATTTTAATCTGTCCACAGTTTTGTTGTTCAAGAGTAACCAACTCTGAATTATAGTGATTTATGAAGAGGTCGCTGAATGGAACTTCATATTGGAAGTGAACAATTTTTATCTATGCTATGAATTTGTCTGTATAAATGTTTTTATTAGGAAAATATCATCGAATGTTTTTGTTATCTTGTTGATATTCACGTTGATTAAAATCAATTAAAATGCACGTAACAAATCTAGTTTTATGATTTGTTGAGATGTCAGAGTGAATAGTGACACGATCAGTAATACATTAATTTTGATAGATGCAAAATTGAACATTATGTATGAGTCGTTTGTTTTATCGTTCTTTATAGTTGAAAAATTATATTTATTTCTTCCGTTTTGTTTTTATTATAATTCTACTGAAACTAATATCCGATACGACTTAAATATTGTGATTGATGTATTTTGTGTGTGTAATTTTGCTGATCCGATACGATCGTCATGATTGTTTTGCTGACGAAATTTCGTGACTTTTACGGAGCAATGTGCGCTCTCAAAATTCTAGCTGAAAGGCACAATTAGCTTTCAAAAGTTTGCTAGTATCAGAACTTTAGTTGTTAGATAGTGCTTTTAACGATTGATTATATATTTAACTATATATTTGGTTCTCATATACAAACAACCGAAGTGAATGTGCGCAATATATTCTATGTTTTATGTAAGTCGATTTATATTTTTTAATAGTTTCATTATAAAAATGTAATTTGACAATGTTTTTGGAAAAACTTAGTTAATATAATAAGCAATATTGTGTCCTTGTTGCATGGCGTAACTTTCGTACATCGTGAGGATCGTTCTAAAACTATTAGGGGACTGCGGATAATTTGATTTCGGTGGCGATTTCACACTGTAAATCGTTAAGAATACTTGGATTGCATGTGTTGCTAACAGGAACATCTTTTCTATTGTAATCATTCTTTTCTAAGTACTCAGAAATATCACGCATGTTGATACTCAAACTTGTCGATATGAAAACAAATACAACTGATTTATAAAGAAGTTATAGATTTATAGACTTCGATTTTCTGCTAGAGTATTATCCTGGGAATATTGATCAACCTCTTGGTAAAATAGGTTTCTATCTAATTATTTAATGTCTTCTACAAGTAGTGATCGGTTTGATCAATAGTTTTCATGAGAACAGAAAGTCACGATAGTGATAATGATCGTGTATTGCAAAAACGAAATGATCTATTGTGTTTTTATGATCTGTTGCATAGGAACTACCATATCGATAGTATGTGTTAGTGCACAGACTCATATCATGAAGATTCTTTCCTTGAAGAAAACCAAAAACACGTTAATAATGCAAGGTTTTTTTTCTGCAGAAGAATAAATCAAATGTGTTTTACATTACAGGATGCCCGATAAAAATCTCAATAAAATTCGATAAATCTATTGTTCTTGATTGTATGTCATTAAACAGTAGCGATTGGTGATTCGCTTCTATGAATTTCTGCCAATGAGTTTTTATGGCTGGTCGTAATTTTACTGAAATACTACACTGGTAAGATATTTTATTTCAATAGAACAAAATTTTATAAGAAAAATATGAAGTTAACTTTGAGTATGGATTAAGTAAGATAATATTATACATCCTACTAATCGTGTCTGGTTTTTAAAGTAATATGAATGATTACAAGAACAGTTCAATGAGTACGAATGGTGTGCGTTAAACGTTCACAATAAGTTATGCAAAGTTTATAAAATGGAAAAATGAGCACACCTTTACAATAATAACATACGGCGCAAAAGTCTTTGCAATAATGCCAAACGTTGTTAGACTATGTTGGAGATTTATAATTCAGCTGAACTTTTTCTTGTTGGAAAGAGCAGTGTCTGTACTTCAAATTTTGTACCAAACATATTTTTCTAGGACGAATCTGGAAGTGAGGAAAAGGCAAAAACTAAACGCATGATAAAACGTTCGTGCAACCTGGAAAAATCGGTATTTCAGAAATATCTTAGACTACATGAGTAGAATTTTAACGAAACATACACCACAATGAAGAGTTGCAAAAACTCTATCGATTCCAGCTTGTGGAAGATTTTTTGATTCATTCTCGAGTCGTTCATAAGAAAAATTGAAAACCGAAGTTTTTGTAAAAAGATATTCATTGAAAAAAACTATCAACTTTCAAGAATATCTACCAGGAAGAATGTATGAACTCTATTTGTTCGCATTATTTATGCGAAGTATATCAGACCTTAGAAACTTGACAGCAAAAATAACTTAACAAATATCTTTTGCAGTTTCAAAATGGTCACATTGTGTGAACGACCAAATTTGTCAGTCTCTTTCGAAAAAAGCAATGTTTCAGTACAAAAACTAAAACTAAATTTACCTTTCAATACACCATTGGAAAGAGCGTCCTTTATGCTACAAAAATCATCATGGATCGTGATTTATTCTGTTTTTCACTTTCAAAAAAATTCAATAGAAATAGAAAATGATACTGCTGGATGGTGAAGTTGCGAGAACCTTTTTTTCATGCGTTTAGTTTTTGCCTTTTCCTCATTTCCAGATTCGTCCTAGAAAAATATGTTTGGTACAAAATTTGAAGTACAAACACTGCTCTTTCCAACAAGAAAAAATTCAGCTGAATTATAAATCTCCAACATAGTCTAACAACGTTTGGCATTATTGCAAAGACTTTTGCGCCGTATGTTAGCTTGTCATAACTAGATTCAACTCACAATATTAATACTTTTTTTTGTTAAAGTAGGTCACAAAAGTAAATATAAAGATACTGATCTTTAGCAAGGAGTGTTTGAGGTACACTAATTAGCAGTGCTTGTTTTTGACTGTTGTATTAATCAAGAATATAATAGAAAATAAAATTTGTACACAACGCAACCAAATTTTCAATCTTAAAAAGTGTTGTCAGATTACTCTCGAATCAGATCAACGTATGTCGTCTGGCTTTAGCATTTTGACAACAAAATAGTAGTGAATCACTGCACATTTCGAGATTACTTAGATTTGTTGATTCAACTATACGATCAAATATTATAGCTGAAAATCAATTTATTGTTGAAGAAATTGCATGAACTCACAGTAGACCGTATTTTCATTAAGAAAACAACAAGAGTATCGCTAATTTTTGTTTGTCCTATTGCGAACATGATCGTAAAACATAAGAATTGTTTTGGCAAAAATTATAAGAGTTGTATGTTCTCGATATTTTTTCGACTTCTTCCTTTTTTACTTAATCATGTGTCAGTATTCCTATCATGATAACATTTTTCTTCAGAGCATGTTCGTATCCAAATTGTTTTGATCAAAACCACAGGGTTATTTTGCAATATTTGATAGAAGAAACATCTTCATGATATTTGTCTCATTGAGTTTATTTGCTATTTCATTGAAGAACTTGTTTTCAGTCTTCAGATTTTGTTAATAACAATACATTAAGTGATTAGTTGAACCGAAAATGCAACGGAAGTACAGAGTAATATAATAGAGTATTCGATGGATTAGAAAACAATCTGGTCGTTTGACAGTTCTGATAAACGCATGTAAAATCTAATGATGATTTCAGTTGAAATGCCAAAGTTTACATTAGTCAGATTTCTTAGCAAACAATATTGTCATATGTATTACTTTTTTCTCATCTTCACCGATGATTTATTGATCTATTAAGATTAAGATTAAGATTTATTGATTTAAGTCCTATTGATAAAAATAAGTCCAAGCCATTATCTGAATAGTTATGTTAGATAGATATTTTTCGACATGCAATAAGGTACAATAAATAAATAATTATGACATCTGTACATTTCTATATTTTTCATTCGCCGAAAAAACTTTGACAAAGACGAATACGACGAATACTCAGAAAACTAAGACAATCGAAAACAAATTTATAAATGATTCACCAAAAAGAAAGAAATATAATAAACAATTCTTCATCCTGTAAATGTATTATAAAAAATGCTTTAGTTGACTATTGAGTTGTGTCGACATCACTCTTTAATCGACGATCATCCATTTCAAATGCAATTGACTTTAACAGAAGGAAACAAGCGAAATCTTTTTTTTTTATTAAATAAACAATGCTTACAGGTCTTAAATTGGGCTGAGGAATTAATAATTCTAATCGTGTTCGATCCTCGTTGTTTATTGTACCATCTCTATATCGATCTTTACTTCCTAATCCTAACCACCGTTTCCATTGGGTCCAGAATTGTGTTGTTTCAAGCCGACGAGATACTGTGTCGCGAACCTTTAAAGTAAAACATTCAATAATCGAATTAAATAACAATAACAATAAAGTTTTACCTCTGTATTTAAGAAACAATAAAGTAAGGAACAGAAAAAGCCTTGGAATGTCACTAAAAAGTAAGTCACCGAGCAATACAAAGCAAACAGAGCTATTGATTGATGATCTTGAATAAGCAAAAATAAAATGCAAAAGAAATGATAAGTTCTTTTTTTTAATTTCTTAATTTTTCACCTGGTGAAACAAATGTTTCAAGCATATGTGTAATACCTAATAACGGTAATAGGAAAATAGCTGCTCTTACTGCTTTTCTATAAAATATAGAAAAAATAAAAATGCGATAAGAAAAACTATATTTTATTTACTTGACAAAGTTTGTATTCATTGAACCGCGACGATGTTTTCTAAAAAAAATTTTGTTTTGAAAATTAATTATATGAAACAAATTTATTATGTTTAATAAGTATTGGGTTAAAAAGAAACAAGCAAATTATTCATAGTTTTCAGCTTGTTTTACCGATGTAGACAAAAAATCAGATGGGATAATGTACCATGAGTGTGTGAACGATTAGTTCTGTATAAATCAAATAATTTCGAGGGAAATTTGATTTTGAAGATGCTGCTTTTCTCTGACTTACTCATCACGTATTTGTTTGTGTGAGCCTTCTTTAATTTTAACCAAAAGAACACGTATTATATTCAATAAAAATATAAAATTTATCTAGAAAAGGAGTTCAATTTTCTATTCATCTAATACAATAGAAAACAAAGCTTACAATCATAACTGCATATCGAGGTCCATCGATAATCCAATAATATTTAAGATAATTATAATTTGTCCAACATCTAACAAAAAAAAGGTCTATCGACTAAAAAGATTTTAGAAATAAAAACTTACTTCCGATCACGCTCTTTAAAAAACATAATAATACTCCAACTGAGTGTTATACACAATGGAACAACTATGTGTAAAGAAAAAACAAAAAAGCAAGCAAATACAGAAAATTAATCAAAGAAAAGTCGATTCTTACTCCATCCTAGTATATAAAAATAACATGTTTTAACATGATTTTTAAATACACTAACTGTTAATACATTATTAAGATGAATGCCTTCACACAACATCCACATAAACATGGATGTTATACTGAATTGTAAAAAAATGACAATTAATGGACACATGCTTTGAAATATAGATGAGATTTCACGGCCACGAACACTTTCATCTACACCACATTGCATTGGTTCTGTTTGTGAGGGACTATTAGACTGCTTCATTTGAATTCTAAATTAACTAGATGAATATTACATTTAAATATTTTCAAATTAATACCCATAATTAACTATTCTAGCAATTATTTGAATAAATATGGCTAATAAAAGATTAATATGAATTTTCGTACGACTGCAGCAAAGTGATCTATACAAAAAAAAATCAATCAACTATGTTTTTTCATGATTACAATTACTTCAAAGTAAAAAATATTATAAGAGAAAGAAGTACACTGATAAATGATACTGATAATCCAACTAATTCAATGATACGCACAGCCTGAAGAATAGTTGTATACGACTAAATAAAAAAGAGCACAAATGCACTCATAAATGGAAAGTCAAAAATATATTCAGGACGAACTTTTCGTTGTTGAACATTCCGTGGTATATAAAATGTCATCATTAAATCCCAAACGTCCGGATAAACGCATGACTGATATGAAACATTTGACCATTTACCGTTTGAAAGACAATGTCGAGTGACAAATTCTAAAGAGATTAAAGAGAAAACTATTTTTGTCGGAACAACGTAGAATAATACGGACTGCTTGAATCGACTCCTTGTGATGCTAATGATGAACATGAAATAGTAATTGACTGGTTGGCACGTGTTTTAGGCCAACATAGATTATCAAATAATGCGGAACAATATAATTCATCATCATCTAACGAACTATTCAATAATAAAGTTTGATTTGCTGATGAGTACATCGAGATATTATATAAGCATATCACAACCAAATGGACGGTCGATCATCTGAAATGAAAAAGACAAATAAACAATGGAAAAACAATAAAATTAGATTAAAAACAATAGAATTCCTTCTTTTATTCTCTCATGAGATCTTCAAAAAGAAATTTTTAGATACAATAGTAACGAAATCTTATTCAATTATAGAGTTGTTGTTCTGTTTTTTAATGTTAACACGGTTCTATTTCATTGATGTCAATGTATTACTATAGTGACAATACTAATATATCTTATCTTTCATTAATTCAATAATCAACGAAAAACTACAAATAAATCTTGCTCGCGTGTATAATTTCATAGAACGAACGTTTCTGAAGTACATTTATTGACTTTAAATAAGGAAGTATACATACAATAATAGCTTTTTCGTATTTATAAACGATTGAAATCAACAAATTTCATATTATGAAATATTATTAATATTAATTTCTAATAGAAATGGCATTTTCTTTTTAATGGTGAGCAAGTAAATAAATGCTTCACGCTATGCTTCTACAATTCATTTTCTTAATGCAAAAGCTATTGACGATGAAAATACTTTGATGTTAACGAATACATTACTTTACTATGTCCATGTATATATATAACGACTTGAGCACGTATTAGTATTATCGGATACATCAAAGAATAGAAAAGCTCATAACTGAGAGGAAAAGATGAAACTCTATACTTCCACATTGTAAAAATAAACATCATAACAAAAATTACACAACATTGAACACTGTCACGTTTAATATTTTGAGGAAAAAATACTGATGAAATTTAATTTCTTCGTACTCTTGTCTTAAAATAGGAAAACAAGAAAGAAAATTCTCTTAGATTGATAAATCCAAAAAAAACAACATATGGGATATTACATAGCTTAGATGCATCAATCAAATCCTTTATACATTTTTTTGCATGATAGTACGGAAAGCACCTTACCCATATGTTTGACTACATGATCAAATACGATCAATACACTAATTACTAAGTCACTTTTAATAAGATCAAATTAATTTTCATATATTTGTTGTCACAATAACTTGATCAGAGAAATATTGATAAATGAATGTAAAAATGAGTACTGCAACTTACGATGAAATTACTTCATTTAATCTCAAAGAAAATTATGCACCCTGGTCTATTATATTCGAACATATGGTTTTTCTCATTCATCTTTCTATGATATCTAATACTCTGTCTATACAGATGAACTTAAAAGCATATTGTAATGTCGTGACAATATTTCGATAAGTATAATATTAAACAGATGGGCTTTTCTTCAAGGCAAAGGATATATCTACCAAAATGTCTTTCTATGAAATGTCAAGACAGTACTTACAAACAATGTCATATCAATGTTTAAGTTTTTTATAGCACTATTCTGTGTATATATAGTTATACAAAATACCTTCATTTTTAATATTTTTTATTAATAACATGTTGATTTTAACGCTCTTTCTCTTATTTCCCCAATGATATATACATATATTAATATGTAGGTTATCTAGTATCCTCATTTTTTTCTAATTATCGTACGAGGTCTTCGCTATCATACAGTCAATCGGGAATTTTTTAGCTCAGTTTCATATATTTTCATTTACGATATGTCTACATTCAATTCTTTCGTTTCTCATTCTGTGTGCTGGTTTGACTAGTCTCAATAGTTGTCAACATCGAATGTAGAATCTAATTTAGTCAATAGTATAATGCACATACAAGAAAAAAACAAGCGGAAGAAAAATAAATTAACTTAGACGAATTCAGTCGTTGATGTCAAATCAGCGGCCATCTTCAAATGGTTGCATGAGCAATTTTTAATAAAAAACAAAAATCTGATAAAAGAAAGAATGGCAGTAGAGATGGAGTGCTTTGTTCTACTTCGTTTTTTGTCTCTTAGGAACACAAAAATATCATGTCAGCCTTTTCTTACGGACATCATTCCTGTTTTACGTCTTGTCTTTTTTGTTTGCTTTTTACTTACTGTGTTAAATAATGGAGGAAAATTATTAATGATGTTAAGTGCTTTTCCAAACATATATTGCTCAACTGATGATAATATTTTATGATTAATATATTGAGTTACATCGTTAAAATCAAGCAACTCCTGTCCATATTCATCTCTTCTGATATTATGCTTAAAAAAACATCTAATGAGTTTTCCCAGTTTTTTTTCTTCATCTAAATAGATAAACCAACAGTATGCCATATTCTTTATGTTGTCAGCTTTGTGTAAATTATTATTCAAAAAGATTCTCAAGAATATTAAATTTACTAATAGTTATTTGCTATGTAAAACTCTCTAACTGAAAATGGTCTTAAAAGGGCATCTACCTAAGAATAATAGCACGAGATACATTTCATTTGCTCTTTACTCGCTTTTAATAAACTCCTGTTCAATAGCACTCTGATGGAAAATGTTTCACATTGTGTTTTCTTCCCTATCCAAACTGAATCTAATTACCGTTGCAGATAATGGATCTTCCAAACAAGGCAATAAGATTGTATTTCCTCGTTATCCTCTTTTTCTAATGCTTTTTCTTAGGCAAATAATGAGATTTTAGATAAATTTCAGATATGCTAATATATCGAGTGGCCAGGCATCTTCTGACATAGTTTTAAAAGAAGAAATCTTATTTTTTCTTACATTTTCGAGCAAGTAATTAAACAGCAGCAGTAGAAAATGATATTTGCTTTCTTTCCAACATGTGAAATGAAATCTTCAAAACATATTAGTAAAGGAAGACAAAATCATAAAAATGAGTTAAGATTGATCAACTCTACTTTTAATCTAACTAACAATCATCATCAATGATAGATGGAAGTGGCTATGCATACTCAGGTGCACATACGTAGACATGTGGCTGTATGTACTCGAGTACACATAGCCAGTTGGCTATATACACTTAGGTGTACATAGTCGCATGACTATGTGCACTCAGAAGATAGAATCAATTTATAAAGAAATTCCTAGTTACTATTAATCTTGCATACTCATTATTATTAATATAAATTTAATAATTTAAATTTTTATGAATTTTTGCCTGATAAATTGTTCCTTAATATCAAGAAACGTACGAGTCAGGTACTGTGCAACCAAACGAACGTCGGAAAAACACCCAATATGAATAAAATTCAACTATTTTCGAAACAGTATCCGTTATCTTCTTATATTTCTAAGACTATAATTATATTTTACTATTTCAAACATATTTACCCAGGTCGTGGAGGTAAGGCGGGAAACGGTCGGAAAGCAAGGGAAGGCGCTGGAAAGTGGACGCAGTATTCCGGTCGGAAATAGCCAGCTTATTTTCCTGTGGATTCCGGTCAGTTTCCTGTGATTTCCGGCTGGAAGTTGGCCGGAATACACCGGAAAAAAATCCGGCAACACCCGACCGGAATACTGCTTCCATTTTCCAGCGCTTTCCCGCGAGATACGGCGATTTTTCCGCATCTTTCCGGTCGGTTCCTACAGTACACGCCCTCCGGAATCGTTGACCTGGGTAATAGAATTGTCATGTGAAAATTTCTGTTTAGAGAACAATGGTGATTGAAAGTCCTGCAGAATAATCTTACCCACATTCTATCCTCGCCGCATAATTGTTGATAGTTATCATGAAAATAAGTTTTAACTACTTCTAAAAATGACCAATAGGGTTGAATTGCTTTGCGAGGAAAAATCTTCATCTTACCGCATTTGTTTTGAAGAGCTACAACGATCTGATTATTGACTAGGGGTGGCACTTAAATTTTGATGTTACAGTTGTAGTTAAAACCACTAGAGAATTAATCATGAAGAGCTAAAAAATTATTTTTCACTTCAACTCGGATTTGTTAAAGTTAAATTGGTAAAGTGTCTTGTTTTAACTTTAACTTTTAAAAGATTCAAAACTAATATGCTAGTATAAACATATATTGATTGTTATATGAATGAAACACATGGATTCAAGTATGACAGTGTTATGATGATTTAGTTCTATAATAGTTTATTTCTCATTATAAATGAGACTATTGTATGTGTATATTTGATTTTTCATTGTCAATAAAAAGTCCTCAAGGAAATTTTGAAGCGAGCAGTAACTAACGTATCTTAACAGACTACATATCTCGACGTCGAACGCTAATTAGCTTCTATACATTTCGATATTCCATTTTGTAATCCAATTCATCACGAAAAAAAAAATCTTGTCTTTCATGATCAACCAACGGAAGGAAAATGTAATTAAGAGAAAGTTGATACAATATAACTTTTGTTAAATATTCTGACAGTAATAAAATGGCATACATTGCTTTTCAAGAGTCACAGTACGATACCTAGTAATGTTTCTACATTAGTTAATCTTTATTGAGATGATTTCTTTTTTGTTCTATATTCTTTTAGTTGCGCAGCACCTGACTCGTACTTTTCTTAATCTTAAAAAATAATTTAGCGGGTAAAATTCATAAAAACTGAAAGTATCACATTTTATATTAATAATAAAAAATATCCAAGGCTGAGAGTAACTTGAAATTTTTTAATAAATTGATTCTATCTTCTGAGTGCATATAGTCAGTCGGCTATATGTACTTGAGTACACATAGCCACTTCCATGATAAAGAGATCAACTAAATCATATGACTACATTTTCTCACTGCATTAGATTGTTAGTCATGAATAAACAAGCTATTTTATAGCAGAATGGAGTCAAAGCAATTGATCCGAACCCAAGGTCAATTAGAAAGTCTAAAGCGTAAAATCTTTCGAATTATCCACAACTGGCATGACGCCAGAAATATCGAAGTTACGAATTTGACCGAATACCGATCAATAGCCGAACTTACTGCAGCACATTGGAATAAACTCGTGTACACAATTACTAGAACAAATCCTGGTGTTATTCAAGATTATTTACAACACAAAATGTCAATTCTATACATCTACGAATATTATAAACAATCCAGCACTAGCGATAGAAAGAAAAGCTATCTTTGAAAGAGG